TCTGTACAAATTATAATTGAACTTCAAATTGAAATGTATTAAATATTCAAGCAAGATTTGTCGCATTTGTAAGTGCTTCACGAGTCTGGCTCGTCAAAATACTGCAAGGGGTTAATGATTATAGTTATGGTATTCCTTGAACTGTGAACGAAGGGGGGTTGCAAGTGGTGTGTACGTTGGTTTAATTTTCAGTCAGTCTTATGTTATCCTTGAACTGAAACGTGTGTAATGTCCTCTGAAAATTTAATTAAATATTTAAATATTGTATTGTTGATTAATGTCTAATCAGTTACAAGTTTCTACAATTCAACTTCAATTTCAAAGTAAATGTAGAATATTCAGCGTTAAACATAACGTAAAATTTTGTGGAAGTAACCCTTCCGCGTTTGAACGATCCGGCAAAGTTTGGAAACGGTAAAACACAGTGTAAATAAGATAAACAGGGTCGAAAGCGAGGGAAGTTATCTAACGCGAACAAGTGTTCTTGGCCCTTTCTTACACCAGCACCTGTCCGTCTAGCAATGCCCGTGTACACACACGCGTATGTACATGTCGACGACCCACGGCTGGCAGACCTATTTCTGGCAAACGTCGGAGTTTACGGCTCCCCACGGTTGACTTTGCTCTCGTCCTGTTTCCCGCTACCGAAGGAAACTTTCTTCGACCTCCCGCGAACCTCTCATCGCAGTTATAACGATCCACGATCCTCTCCTCCCTAACGGTTTTAATTACGAGCGGCCACAGGGCGCGATCTCACCCCGCCCCGCTAAGAAGTATTAATTACGTTTCGAGAGACCGTCCGGTAGGTAGCAGCCAGTTTTTGCCGATTCTTATCGGAAGACTTGCGTAATTCGACGGGACCAGACGGAGGATCCTCCCGTTAATTACCGGTCTGGAATAATGAAGTGTCCCCGCGTAGATTAAATAATACACGAGGGGGCTGAAACGAGTCGGTTCACCGATAATTTCTCGTAACAGGTGATACCTCGAGAATCTCTCTCACCTGTATCGATTAAGATGATCGATCATTCGTGGAACAGGTTCAAATTTCAAGGGCTTTGAAAGTTTCTTAGAGTACGTAAATCTTGTTGGACATTTTGAAAGTTTCTTTCGATTATCGAATACTGTGCGTATTAATCACGATGCGTATCGGCGCTAAATTAAATTAAAAGACGGCTAATCGAATCGGCGTTATCCCAGAGTTAATCTCGAGACGGTTGATCGCGCGGAAAGCACGGTACGGATTCCCCGAAATTCAATTCACCCCGACAGGATACATAATACAAATCATCCGGGATCGTCATCGATCAAGTCGAAAGTCTCTCGACGGGTGGACAAGAATGAATCAGCGAGGCTTATTCAAAGCGTATCAAGGACTCGATCCTGCGGAGTCAGTCGTCGTGTTACACACAAATCGAAGATCTCGATGGCCCGCGAGGATCGCAGACGCGCGTATAAATACGTCCTGCTCCTTCGTTCCCCTCCTCCGAAGCCACGACGATACAAAGAGAAACAGACGAACGCGCCGTCTGGTCGGTCGACCACTTAAAAATTGATCGAAACCTTTTTATGAACAGTCCTTGGACAGGGGTGGTGTGTTCTGAATATCGCGTGGATCGCGATAGAGAAACGCGAGAGGCGAAGAGAAACCAGTGCAGGGACCGGTTCGCCCTTCTTCGTGCAACTTCGCCCCTTTCGGCCATCTTTCTTCCACCTTCGCGACACATTCTCGCTTTTATCGATACGAAAGATACGATAGATGGGTGTAGACGCAAATAGACGCGGGGTGTCTTGTATCGGATGCGAAGAAAAGATAATTGTTTTAGAGAAAACGAACCGTGTAATGATTCTCGGAACGCGTCACGTCGTTATTGGAATGTAATCGTACAATGTTTCGAACCTGGTCATTTCGTTAATACCTGCCTCGTTATGACGTTTAATGCGCTCGAGAAAAACGGGACATGCCAGTGAAATTGAAGTAATGATACAGAGTAGGTAATTGTAACGTTGTGTTTAAGAAACTGATTTTATGATTACAACTATGGTCCGAGGTTTCATAAAGCGTTTGACTAAGAAAGTGCAAACTACGTTGGAACGACGAACGTAAATTTGCGAAAAGAGAAATACATTTCCGAATTCGGAATTATTAAACGCATCATTCGCGATGTAAAAATAGAATTATTTTTAATTCGCGATTTTACAATTCGCCGGAATTTATCAAACAATTCGTATCTGTATCGATGATGGAAATATTTGATTGAGTGGATGAAATAACAACGAAACAAGAAGGTTGCGAATGGCAGGTGCTCCAAACAGGGCGCAAAAACATCGATCGATTCGATGCAAAATATATTAAATGTACCTCTGAATAATCGAGCTTTTTTGTCAAACTCACTGTTTGTTAAATAGATTTGTGTAACAAGTAAAATTATGAATTTAAATGAGACTAAATAAATATAAACGACGTGACGACCCGCTTATTTCAATCGTTTTCATTCGCTCCGATGTTTATCAAGATAATCATTAATATCGGTACCACTATTAATTATAAATTTCGAACGACAGTAATGCACGCTCGATCGATCGCGTTTGAAAATCCCGTACATTCTTTGCTTTCCTTCCGCAAAGCAGGGTGGTCGCGCAAGTTAGGAATAAGATTTCATCGCTGGAGATGAGGGTGGCCGCGTCGAGGTGTAAGGTGTCCTGTTCGCAGCCAACATCTCCACTCACACTGCATACGAATTCTGCAACGCCTTCAGATAGTAAAGCTTCGCATCAAGACGCGTACATTTGACAAGTTTCAATTCCCTTTCCTATTTCTGGATGTCAAGCTTTCTGAATCTTCGACTTCTCAAATTATCAAATTTCTTAATATTGGAGTCTTCGAGTTTCGAGGATTCTACGTATTGGAATTTTCAAATTTCCCATATTCTACATACTGAGACTCCTAGGACTCCTGTAGACCCTAAGTCCTGTATCGATAGTTCTCCAAATCTCAAGATCCTCAGATTTCTAGATATCTAAGACCCTAGAGTTCCTAATTCCAACATCCTCAAGTCTCTAAATCCTAAATTAGTAGGTCCCGAATCTGCAAGTGCCGAATCTCTATATCACAAATACCTAACTTTGCAAAGTCCTAGCTCCCCAAATCCTTAGATACCCAAATTTCAACAAGTGCTCAAACCCTTACATTCTAGACTCCTAGGACTCCCTAAGTCCTATATCGATAGTTCTCCAAATCTCAAGGTCCTCAGATTTCTAAGACCCTAGAGTTCCTAATTCCAACGTCCTCAAGTCTCTAGATCCTAAATTAGTAGGTCCTGATTCTCTATATCACAAATACCTAACTTGACAAAGTCCTAGCTCCCCAAATCCTTAGATACCCAAATTTCAACAAGTACCCTTAAATTCCTAAATTTCAACAAATTCCCAAATCACCAAGTGGCAAATAGATATGAAATCCATAGATCAGCAAATCTCAAAGTGCTCGAGTCTACTTCCCTCTCATGTCCCAAACTCATAATCCCACCCCATAAAAATCAGCTACCCCCAAATCCCTAGAAGTCGACTAGACTCTAGTTCAAGTTTGCTGTCGGTTTTTTCGCGCTTACACCGTCGTGGAGCAACAGAACACGGAGCATTCGTTGGACAAAATCGCGCGCGATTTCAACGGGAGTCTGAGAAGGAAGAGACGAGAACGTATGCCGTCCTCGTTCCACCTCCGGCGGTTGGACGAGGGGCGCGTGCTCGCCGGAGTCGGATGCCGGTCCTCGGTGTGTTAGTGCTGCCGCCAGTGGAGGGGGAACGAACGATTCGTGGACGCTATGCGTCGAGTTAGATGCTGAGGAGATCTCAACCGTCAGTTGCGCGGTGGTCGCCGTAGCGAGTGTTATGGTTTCGAGAGTGTCGTGGCCGACGGATATTCTCTCTGGCCCTTTGCGTACGGAAGACTCGTGCAAGTTCGTCGCGGTTCGAACGGTTATGGAAACTCGGTGAAATCGGATCGTAATTTCTGAACAGGGTGCGATTATTCGCGTCGCTCATGCACGCGCTTCAGCAATGGGACATTTTGCGTACGAATTGAAAAACAAGGTTTCGAGGACGGTATCTCGGTGCAAAAGCATGAACAGCGAGGCGGCAAACGTCGTGGATGCGCCGCTGAGTCAGCTACGTAAACAGGCGTCCTTTTGACAAGAGGGGAGAAAGCGAAACGCGCGAACCGAATTCATAAAGCGTCTCGACGTTTGCGCGTAATTATTTCGAGAGATCCGTTCTGTTACGAGGATACTCTCAGTCAAACGAGTCGAGTGGTCCGGGGCTCGAAATGTTTGAAGCGCGGACGATTTGCCGGTCGGGTGAAGTGTGATTCTTTAAGTGTGGACTACTTGAAAAGTACTCCGGTGAAACGCGATAATATTGTGCCTCTCGTGCTCGTTTCAAAGACAGCTTGATATCAACGAGTACCGTGTCCCGGAATCGTTAACGACGATTCGAATCGACGAGATAGCCCGCGATCGAGGATCGACGATCTCGAACGATCGGCAGCGCCACTGGTCCCAGACAGGGCGTACGGGAGCGACGACAGCGCGCGTAAAAAGAGCCGCTTGGAGGCGTGTGATGACCGGGAGGAGCGGAAACAAGGGAAGGCAACGGGTTCGCTAAAGATGCGTGGGTTCACCGGTCCGGAAGGGCTGAGGAGATCGGTGTCGCCGTCGTTGCTTTACTACTACTGTCTTCTGGTCCCGGTGTACCACGTGCTCGCCGTGACCAGCGAGCTACCGCCCGGGCCCGATCTGCCCGAGCATTGTTTGTGGACTCCCTGGCAGGATGGCGTGGTCACCTGCGTTCACCGTTACGCCGGCAACGACTCGCTGCGGACGAACTTCTCGCAGGCGACCAGCGAATACGTGACTACCGTGAACGTGGTCTGCGAGGACCCCGACTATGCGTCGAGTTAGATGCTGAGGAGATCTCAACCGTCAGTTGCGCGGTGGTCGCCGTAGCGAGTGTTATGGTTTCGAGAGTGTCGTGGCCGACGGATATTCTCTCTGGCCCTTTGCGTACGGAAGACTCGTGCAAGTTCGTCGCGGTTCGAACGGTTATGGAAACTCGGTGAAATCGGATCGTAATTTCTGAACAGGGTGCGATTATTCGCGTCGCTCATGCACGCGCTTCAGCAATGGGACATTTTGCGTACGAATTGAAAAACAAGGTTTCGAGGACGGTATCTCGGTGCAAAAGCATGAACAGCGAGGCGGCAAACGTCGTGGATGCGCCGCTGAGTCAGCTACGTAAACAGGCGTCCTTTTGACAAGAGGGGAGAAAGCGAAACGCGCGAACCGAATTCATAAAGCGTCTCGACGTTTGCGCGTAATTATTTCGAGAGATCCGTTCTGTTACGAGGATACTCTCAGTCAAACGAGTCGAGTGGTCCGGGGCTCGAAATGTTTGAAGCGCGGACGATTTGCCGGTCGGGTGAAGTGTGATTCTTTAAGTGTGGACTACTTGAAAAGTACTCCGGTGAAACGCGATAATATTGTGCCTCTCGTGCTCGTTTCAAAGACAGCTTGATATCAACGAGTACCGTGTCCCGGAATCGTTAACGACGATTCGAATCGACGAGATAGCCCGCGATCGAGGATCGACGATCTCGAACGATCGGCAGCGCCACTGGTCCCAGACAGGGCGTACGGGAGCGACGACAGCGCGCGTAAAAAGAGCCGCTTGGAGGCGTGTGATGACCGGGAGGAGCGGAAACAAGGGAAGGCAACGGGTTCGCTAAAGATGCGTGGGTTCACCGGTCCGGAAGGGCTGAGGAGATCGGTGTCGCCGTCGTTGCTTTACTACTACTGTCTTCTGGTCCCGGTGTACCACGTGCTCGCCGTGACCAGCGAGCTACCGCCCGGGCCCGATCTGCCCGAGCATTGTTTGTGGACTCCCTGGCAGGATGGCGTGGTCACCTGCGTTCACCGTTACGCCGGCAACGACTCGCTGCGGACGAACTTCTCGCAGGCGACCAGCGAATACGTGACTACCGTGAACGTGGTCTGCGAGGACCCCGAGTCGCTCGGAAACGGTGTCCTGAACGTGGACGGGTTCGTCCAGTTATGGAGATTGCGATCGCTGAAACTGATCGGATGCAAGCTGGTACATTGGCCGGCGAAAGTTCTCGGCGGCCTGCGAGATCTCCGTAATCTGACGATCAGAAGCTTGAACGGGCGAAAGAGCAATTACAGTTTGGAGGTGGAGAGCGGAGCGTTCGACTCGGTCCCGCAGATCGAGAAGATCGATTTATCGTGGAACAACATCTGGCAGTTACCGGAACACTTGTTTTGCCCTCTGTCGAACCTGCTCACGTTGAACATCTCCTGGAACATGCTGAAGGACATCACCGAGCTCAGCTTCAGGGACACGGAGCCGGAAAAGCATCCGAGACGCCTGCCGGAATCGACCCCGTCACCGTATCCCTGTTCCTTGGACATACAGTCGTTGGATTTGTCGAACAATCAAATTCTTGTGCTGCCCGCCCACGGGTTTTCCTCCTTGAAGAGGTTGCGGGTGTTGAACTTGTCCAGCAACGCGATCTCCATGGTAGCGGACGAGGCGCTACACGGACTGAGATCGCTGGAGACGTTCGATCTGTCCGGAAACAGGATCGTCGCGTTACCGACGGAAATGTTCAAAGACTCGGCGAAATCTTTGAAGGAGTTACGACTGCAGAATAACACCATCAGCGTGCTGTCGCCCGGTCTGATCGCCGACATGAATCAGCTGGTCGAACTGGACCTATCGAGAAACGCGCTGACCAGCTCTTGGTTGAACTCCGCCACGTTCTCTGGCCTGATTCGTCTGGTCCTGCTGAATCTGTCCCATAATCGAATCAGTCGGTTGGACCCGGCCCTCTTCAAAGACCTTTACACCCTGCAGATATTGAATTTGCAATACAACGAGATCGAGACGATACCGGCGGACACGTTCGCGCCGATGAGCAATCTGCACAGGCTAGATCTAACGTATAATCGATTAACCTACCTGGACGCTTACTCCCTGAATGGGCTGTTCGCACTTTCCCTGCTATCGCTCGATTCTAATCAACTCGAAGGTATTCACCCGGATGCCTTTCGGAATTGCTCCAGTATGCAGGAGTTGAATCTGTCCGGTAACAGTCTGGACAGCATACCGGTCGCTCTGAAGGACATGAGGATGCTTCGTACGTTGGATCTGGGCGAGAATCAAATCAGAAGCCTGAACAGGCCGGGATTTCGTGGAATGTCCAGTCTGTACGGATTACGGATGATCGAGAACGAGATCACGAACGTCACCGTCGAGGATTTCGCCGAGTTGCCCGCTCTGCAGATCCTGAATCTGGCTAGGAACAAGATCGAAACGGTGGAAGACGGAGCGTTTTCCGCGAACCCGGCGTTGCAGGCGATTCGTTTCGACTCGAATCTGTTGCAGGACATGTCCGGCATGTTCGCGAGCGCGCCTGGTCTGCTCTGGTTGAACATGTCCGACAACATGATCGTACAGTTCGATTACGGTTACTTGCCGGAGAAATTGCAGTGGATGGATCTGCATAAAAATCTTATTATGGATCTCGGGATCGCGCCGCAGGGCATGAAATTAAGGACGCTCGACGTGTCGTTCAACCGGCTAACGAGGATACACTCGAGATCGATACCGGATTCCATCGAGCTTCTGTTCGTCAACGATAATCTGATACATACCGTCGAGCCTCAGACGTTTTTGAACAAGAAAGATCTGACCAGAGTGGATCTTTACGCGAATCAGATCGTCAAGATGAACCTGTCCGCGCTTCAGTTGACACAGGTGCCCACTTACCGGCGACTGCCCGAGTTTTATATAGGGGGCAATCCGTTCATATGCGACTGCACCACCGAGTGGTTGCAGCGAATCAATTCTCTGACGCTGAGGCAACACCCTCGGGTAATGGATCTGGAGTCGGTTTATTGTCGGCTTCCCTACGATCGACACAAATCTTACATACCGTTGCTCGAGGCTAAACCCTCTCAATTTCTCTGCACGTACAAGGCTCACTGTTTCGCGCTCTGTCATTGTTGCGACTTCGACGCCTGCGACTGCGAGATGACCTGCCCGACCAACTGCACTTGCTATCACGATCAATCCTGGTCGGCGAACGTGGTGGATTGCTCCAACTCCGGCTACAAAACGCTGCCCGGTCGATTACCGATGGACGCCACCGAGGTTTACCTCGATGGAAACAATTTCGGGGAATTGAATTCCCATTCGTTCATCGGCCGGAAGAACCTGCAGATCCTGTACGCGAACGATAGCAACATCATCGCTATACGGAATCACACCTTCAGCGGTCTAAAGCGGCTGTTGGTCCTTCATCTGGAGAACAACAAGATAAGCGTGCTCAACGGCGTGGAACTGATGCCGCTCGAAAACCTGAAGGAGCTCTACCTGCAAAACAATCTACTGACTTATATAGATAACCAAACGTTTCTTCCGCTACGTCAGCTGGAAGTGCTGCGCCTGGAGAATAATCGGCTGGGCACTTTCGCCGTTTGGCAACTCGGCCAGAATCCGTATCTGGTGGACATCGGGCTGTCGAGCAACCCGTGGAGCTGCGAGTGCTCTTACTTGGATCGTGTGCGCGAGTGGATGTCCCGTAATCGAGCAAAGATCAGCGACTGGCGTAGCGTCACCTGTTCCCTCGGCGTGCCCATAACTCTTCCGGCCAACGGATCGGTCATAAATTGCGCGGCATTAACGGGCACGACCTCGGTCATCGAGACCCGACCGCTCGAGGCTTATCTGCCGCTACTGCTGGCCACCGCCGTGCTCATTTTTTCCATGGTGGCGTTGGTGTGCGGCGCCTTCAGGCATCGCCGTACGCTCAGGGCATGGGCAGCCAGCAGATGCGGACTGAGAGCATGCTACAAGACGGCCGCGTTCGAGGACCAGGAGAAACCCTTCGACGCCTACATCTCCTATTCGGCCGTGGACGAGGCGTTCGTATCCACTATCCTGGTACCGGGTCTGGAGACCTCGTACCGTTTGTGTTTGCACTATCGGGACTTGGGCGCCGGCAGCAACGTCGCCGACGCAGTGGCCGAAGCTGCCGATTCCTCGAGGCGCACCATCCTGGTGCTCTCCAAGAACTTTCTGCACGGCGAGTGGGCCAGGTTCGAGTTTAAAGCGGCGCTTAGGGACGCTCTGAAAGGCAAGGGCCGCTCGGTGATCCTGCTGCTGGTAGGCGGTGTGTGTCCACGGGATCTCGACGCCGATCTCAAAAAGAGAATCTCCTCGCACACCGTCCTGGTGTGGGGGGACAAGTTGTTTTGGCAGAAGCTAAGGTTCGCCATGCCAGACGTGTCCCCTGTTCCTGTTTTGGAGAGACCCTTGCCATTGCCGCCGCCGCCCCCGCCCCCGGCGCAGCATCAATGGACGTAGAACTACCATTATTTAGGTAAGAACCATTATTTCGTCTCGTTACGCTTCACCCTATTTCCGATGCTCCTTTCGGCTTTCTTTCCTTCTTCCTTCGAAACGATCACCGATCACCTCGAAGCGAGTCTTAATTCGACTCTGTCCAGCTCAGTATTATAATAGTACGGTTTGCCACAAGATAAATCCTGGTAGTGTACCGAACAAATACGACTGCGCTCGGTTAATGCGGAAAGCGTATTCTTTGCTTCATACATATTTTCAGCACGAACAAACGATTCTTTACTGCGGTCACGCGTATGAGTCAGATTGAAAAACTTAGGAAAACAGACTCGTCTCTCTGAATTCTTGGAGCTTATCTTGTGGTGAGAGTACATTTCCTTCTCCTACATAGATACGTAATCTGTTAGACTTTTAAGAGACGAAAAATCACACGTTAATCATTTAACGCTGGATAGGAAAAGGATTAGACAGTAAAATAGTGATATGCGATTATATTGGAACCATCCAGACTTTCACTGAATGCACATTTATATGCTAAAGTGGTATTCTCGCGTCTGCGATTATCGTCTCAATTTAAGACTACTTATTGTAATAGCCTCTTCGGGGCAAAGTTTCATAATCCGAAGTGTTAAAACGATATCACGTTGATTTCTAACCAGAATTAATTTTACCGTCAGACATTTCCGCCATCCCGGAAAAATAAGACTATCAACCAACGCGAAAAACACGAAGCGAATGTTTGACTTTACGACTCGCATTTCCTCTTAAAGAGAACAATTCGTTTCGATTGCTTAAAAGCCACTTCGTTTGTCGTTCCTCCGTCGAAACGCAATAACAATCGGTGCCCACGACTTCGACGGTACGGCGGACTTTTATTATACCGAAATACCCATCCATTTGCTTGGTCCGCTCCGTTAAACCGTAAGAAAATCATTGATCTCCCGACGAGATTTACAGCCGCGATTAAACGATCGAATCTGTCGGTAAAGTTAGTGCAGCTTCCTCTTCTAGCGGCAACGCTGTAAAATTATATATCATTCCCGAATGACAAACTAACGAGACTATAGCCATACCATTGAACACGGGTCCTGACCCACAGCCCGATTTAACGGCAGCACATTTCGCCTCATTGTGATTGGACCGTGAATGGGGTCATCTTCGGGCCACGCCGGGACATATGGACCGATCAAAAGTGCACGAACACGCGTGAAATTCGTCGGCTATTACAGAAAACTATTGATCGGGGCCCACCCTTCGCACCCACTCACCAAATTAAGTCCTTTAGGACCGGCCCCGTTACCTTTTATCGATCATCGTTGTCGTTCTTAATTCAATGCAGCCCTCTCGATACAACCTATTCACTCGCTGTCTAATGTTAACGTGTCCCCGATATCGCTCCATCCGCCCTCCCTGCACCTAACACCTTTCAACGCCATCCGAGACACGGCAATCTATTCCGTGACATACGGGCAATCTCCTTTGCGCGTATTAAACCGATACGTTCCACGGTACCGCGCGATCACGCCTCCTTTTCTCCGTTCATCGAATGCTTTATCATACAACAGCCTCCGCGCGATTAACGGCTCCACTGAAAATTGAAACTCGAGCAACCTGTTCACCGCTGACCGCTAGCGATGGACTCGACCTGACAAACAGGTTCATACTCCACTCGAAAAGCACACCTATACATTTACCATTTACTTATCATTTTTTGAAACTTAATAACCGTGAAATCTACTGGGACCAGTTGCGTCTGAACCTTTAGTTTAGCACCTTAGATCTCGTACTTCATACAATTTTTATTATTTTGAGTACCATTGCTTTAGACTTAACACGTAAGTACTCGTTGATGTCGTCAGTCCGTCATGGCGACACAATTATTTTCCCGGGTGTTGACAAGACAAATACCCAACCGGTTATCAGGCTCCCTCGTGAAAAGTGTGACCGATCGAGTCTATAACGATTCACGGAAGAGGGTGCAGCGATATAAAGCGAGAACCGCCCCCTCGTACGAAATACGAAATTGCAACAAGCCGCACTTTGTCGCGACCGGTACGAGGAAATTAGGAAAGTCAATTGTGTTCGATCGATCCCGTGCTCAGAATACTACGGGAACACAATGCTTTCGCACCCCCTGCTACGAACTGTGTCCCTTTTATTCGTGTCAGGTGGTCGTTCGCGCTCACGAGAACTCGACTGGTCGCGTTAACTTTTCGTGACACGCTTCAGTTTCAGCTGTTCTCCTCCTGGTCAGCTTGTCACAATGGGGGGAGAGAGATTTGCCGGATCGAAGGGACCAAATGGACCCTTTTTATCTGACGAGCCAGCGAATTCACGCCTAGTTTCCATTAACAGCTGATCCGTCGATAAGTCGCTGCGATACCGCACCAGCTTTTCACCCTGAAATTACTCTCGATTCGCTTCTTACGGGATTACGTCGAAAAATATACAATCGCTGCTCCCTAATTCTCCCTTATCACACACCGCCATTGCCATTCCCGTTTTAGAACAAACGTAGCTCTATTTGTGGGAGGAACATTGTGAGATTTTATGGAATTACAAGATTGGGATCAATAAAATTTGTACGGTCTGAAGGTTAATGATTGTGCAACCGAAGTTGAGACATTTTAGATTTATTATGTTTCGAAATGAACAAATTTTTCATGAGTAATGTGTGTTCAATATTCTACATATCTAATGTCCTCAAGATTCAAAGTTCCCTTCCGAAGTTTCAAAGTCTCAAACTGCTAATGTACCAAAGTACCAATATTTCTATCGTCCAGATATCTCAAACTTCCAAATTTCTAATGTCCCAATTACAACCCCAGTCGATTATCCGAAAGATAAAATCCCTTAAATAAATTTAATAATCGTAGTAAAAAACTGTTCCCGTAACGATCCGTATTTTCGTGTCTCAAATATTTGGCGGACGATCTAAGTGTAAACAGAGCGAAAGAAAGAAAGAGAAAAAAGAAAAATGAGGTCGGGAGGATTCTTGAGCCCCGCGTGTTTCCTTCAGCCCGGTATAGAGAGGATCTTTGTAAGATCAAGCCGAAAGGCAGACGGTAAAGAAGAAGCTAGGGTTTCGTCAGGCTTGCACGGGGAAAAAAGGATCGTGGTCTTTTTATCGTGATTTATTACGCGGCATACGCGCAGCGTATGGGGGTTTTGTTGTCAAGCTTCGATTTCGGCTATGATGTACGAGTTGCTGGAATAAAATGAGTTTCCATCGATTCGCTCGGTGAGCCACTTCATGAAGTTTGTGTTCATAATTTACTCCATATGCAAAATAGTCTTGGCAAGTTTTAGTGTTACATGTGAGATCTTTTAAGTACCTAGGTTAATAGGTGTTTAACTTCAATGTCCGCAATGTTCTTTTGTTGCAGTTTTAATTTTAACTTCCCGTGTCGTTTATTCAGTTAAGACTAACTATTCAGGGCTATGACATTAAAACGTACAAAGAATGTGCACTCAATTTGAAGTTAAAAATAAATAAACGACGGAGTATAAATTAGTACATTATTTTTTATATTACTGAAAATCAATTCTGATTTTAAGATTAACAAAATGTGTCTCATATAGTAAGAAGTTTGTGCAGTCATTTGACCAGTTTGGTAGTTTAGTATAAAAATGAAGTTAAAAAATAAATAAATAAACGACGGAATATAAATTAGTATATTATTTTTTATATTACTGGAAATCAATTCTGATTTTAAGATTAACAAAATGTGTCTCATATAATAAGAAGTTTGTCATTTGACCAGTTTGGTAGTTTGGTATAAAAATGAAGTTAAAAGATAAATAAACAAACGAAACATAAATTAGTACATTATTTTTTATCTCACTGAAAGTCTGATTTCAAAGAATGTTAACAAAATGTGTCCCTTATAATAAGAAACATGTGCAGTCATTTAAGTTTGGTAGTTTTAAGGTCGATGGTTTGGTACATGCAGCATGTTCAGATAACAGCAATTAAAAGTCGCAGAAGTTATCGAATTTTTCAAAAGAATTAAAAATAATTGGAGTATTAAAGTCTGAAAGTTAAGCATATACCTTACCATTTATGTATTTTCCAGCGAAGACCTGCAAGGGGAAAACGAACAGGCGTAAAGTGTGCTCGTGGACAAAAATTACCTGTGAAAAATGCTTTTCTCGAATACGTGCCCCGACTGTTAATTGCGAAACTTTCGTCCCGGAAAAAGGAACCGCCTGACCGAAAGAGAGAGAGCGAATCGAATCGCGGGAAAAAAGGAAAAGATAATGGGGGTCCGTGCCCATTGGAACAGGTTGAATCCATGATCGCGTGTACCTGTTCGTGCCCCTTTTACGTTTGTACCTGACAACGGCTGGACTGAATCTGGAAGACAAATGGGATTACCAACGACCTTGCGTTTTCCTGGCCCGAAGGCACGTTACAGATTAAAAGAGGATTTGTTGTGCCACCTGACTGATTCCTTCGGGCTTCTTTCTTCGTTGGTGGGTGGTCGTTCCGCTGTAACTTTCAGATTTTTCGAAATGAGAAAGCGTAATCCTTTTTCGTTCCTGTCACATCGTGAGAACGGGAACGCTGGAATAACTTGCAGGCGTTCTAGGCTTCCCTAGGGAAAATGATGCTGGGACTCGGGAAATTGCCTTGGGAACTCGGTGGATTTTAGTTTAGAATTTTTGGGCTTTCACGGTTCTCGATTTCTCAGTTTTTGAATATTCAAATTTTTTAGTTTTTAAATTTCGGAATTCCGAATTTCCAAATTTCCAATTCTCTCAATTTCCAAATTTCCAAATTTCCAAATTTCCGAATTTCCAAATCTTCTAATTTCCAAATCTCCCAATTTCTAACCCCCCAAATTTCCAACCCCCTAAATTTCTAACCCATCGAATTTCCAACCCCCCAAATTTCCAAATTCCTGAATTTCCAACCCCTCAAATTTCTAACCCCCCCAAATTTCCAACGCCCCAAATTTCTAACCCCCCAAATTTCCAACCCCCCAAATTTCTAACCCATTGAATTTCCAACCCCCC